CCTGCCCCTGGCAGCAGCAGCACCAGGAGGGTAAGGGGCCCTTTCCCCAGCTGGAGTTCAGCTCCTGGGACCTGGGGCCTGACTGTGGGAGAGAGATGGTCTGGTTTCTCCAGGCCTGGTATGGTCCTGTGGCCCTGCCATGAGCACAGCAAGGAGAGCAAGGAGCCTGGCCCAGAGACCAACCAGACCTAGGCAGTCAGGAAGGCTCAAATCTTCCCCTTCAGCTCTGCTGGGCAGGCTCAGGCAACTGCTCTTGGGCTGGGGTTTAAGGGCATCAGGCAGAAGAGCAGGGGCTGAAGGGCTCTGCAAAGCAATTCGCAGGCACTGCTAAGCCAGTCCCACCTGCTGCAACTGGCATGGGCCCTGGGCACTTTTACATGTGCTCCGGGGGGGGGATGCCTTAGGGGGGCTCCAATAGCCACTCTAATTAAAGCACTGCAAAATCTTATGCATCAGCATCCCCATGCTTAAAAATGGCAGCTGGGGTACTTCAACTAAAGCTCATTTGACAAGCTTTAGTTCAAGCACCCCCACTGCCATTTTTAAGTGTGGGCACACTGACACACAAGATGCAAGAGGCTGGTGAAGCGCGCCCAAAAAAGTTTATTTATGTCAGTAGCTTAAAATGCCTTGCATGATTACTAAATATCGTTCATCAGATCAACACCAGTCGATATGGTTGGTTAATCATCAGTTCTTGGTATCAGCCAAGAAAACCTTTATCAGTGCACCTATACTGACCAGCATATGGATTCACAACAAATGCTTTAAAAATATACATCAGTGACACTTAAATAGGTTTAATATTGACCAAACCAGAAACATTTTGTTGATTGTATCTCTGATGTCAGTAGGCATAATAAAACACACTAAAATTATTTCAAAGATGATTAAATTTAAAAGGTCACATGGATTTCAGAAGTCCAAAATGTAAAGCATGAAGAAATCTTTACACTATCTTGTTAAAATATAAAGGAATTACTTGAAGGTCAGCTATATTTGAAGGGGAATGATTATTACAATAACAGTTGTATGCACTGATAGGCATAAAATACAGATGTGGCCCGTTTTCTGATATGATTGTAAAAAATGTAGATATATTGGAACAGTCTGCAGGTAAGAAGGAAGCGAGAAAATAAGAGAACAGGAAAAGTACATGCGCTTCTTAGTTAGTAACATAATTAATATTAATAATGTTATTTTGATTAAGATTTTATTGAAAGAGAACAAGAATTGTTTGAAAGATTGGGGTTAAATATAGTTTTGAATCTAACCATGACAACAGATAATACCCCTATTATAACAAAAACTAAAAAATGCCACAACCACTCTACTTTCAAAAACTGAAGAGCTGGCTGTGTGTGTATAAATCTCATAAAGACCGAGTCTCTTATAACAGCCACTTTTAATACCACACTGATGTGCTTATTAGTTATCTATTCAGGTTGAAGCCTCCCATTTAATCATAAAAATTGCTTCCTAGGAGCTGCCTTGATTCGCTAAAAACTTCTCACCCTAATGCCCGTCATGTCATTCTTTGTTTCTACTGAGAATGAGAAGGTATAGCAAACTTTTTTAATAAGCTTATAAATCATTTGGCATGGGATGAAAGGGAAAGAAACCCCTATCAAAAAGAAAGTCACGGAATAAGAGAGTGAGTGAGAGAGTGAGTGTGTGAGAGAAAATAAAAATCACTGATGCAATATTAAGTAAAAGAATGCATACTACGATTAATTATAAGTTCATAAGATAATAACTAATATTCAGTCCTATTGTTTGAGAGGGCCTATGAAATAATAAAAAGCTCTTAAGCTGAAGAGAATGAGCATATTTAGGCCACAGACAGAAGCTACATTTGTAGTGCTGTAAATGCCTTTGAAGCGGACAGATATTCACACCCCTGCACAGCTTAAACATGGCAGCAATACAGAAATATTGCTGGAAGTAAGAGCAACATCTCTGAAATACTACATATAACGTCAGTACAGTGCAGGGTACTGCAACAAAGGGTCTCGCTCCCCAGCTTTCCACAGTGCTCTGCTCCTCTCCTCCCCACCCACCGTCTGAAAGGGGAAGGGATGGAGAGGACGGTGGACAGCGAGCGAGTGTTCTAGTCACTTTGCTCCCATGAGGAAAGGGAGCAGATAGCAGCTCTGGGGAGGGTGAAATAGGAGCTGCTTCCTAAACACTGACAGCCTGCACATTCCTCTACTTTAGAGTGCATGATGGGAAAGGGGCTGGGGCTCTGCTGTCCCTGGCTCCTTCCCTGCTGTCTGCCCTGAAGCACACATGCAGCCTCACAGCTGCCTGCTATGAACAGCTCAGGATCTGAGCAGGCCCTTGTCGCCTGCCACAGAACCCAGGCTGCTCACAGAAGGTCTTACAGCCTCCTTACTGCCTGCTGTGACCATCCTGGGCTCCGTGGCTGGCGGGAGGGGCCTGCCCAGAGCCAGGGCTGGCTGGAGCATGCTGAGCAAAGTGTCTTCACAGGCCATGCTCTGGCATATGTGTCAGGGGTTGCCAACCCCTGATCTAGGTGTAGCTATGCTTATTTTCTATGATGGGTATTTCCCATGCTTCTGGGCTTTGCTCCCTTCCCTCCCCCCACACTTCTTTCTGCTATACATGTCAGGGTGTTTTTAAGCCTCCTCAGAGGCACTGGGTGTTCGTTACAGCCAAGGCTAGGGACTTTGACTGTGGTATGTCAATTCTCCTGCTAGAAGCAAAGCCGTAAAGTTTGTGGCTAGAGGGTCTTGCCCGACTGTGAAGGATCAGACTGATCTCCATATTTGGAGTCAGGAATTTACCCCTTGGTAAGACTGGTATGGACTGTTAGGGTTTTTGCCTTCCGCTGTAGTAAGGGGCATGGCCCACTACCCAGAATCTCTTGAGTAGATTGACAACATTTCATAGAAGCAGGACCTTAGCTGCCATGGTTCCCCTGCTTTACTTGTGGCAGGTTAGGGTGTTAGGTCTATGTTGTGTCAGGGTGGAGTGTAATCTTACGTAGAGTTTAGATTATGGTTGTACGATGGTTTCAATAGGGATGACCTTGTCTCGGGGGGCAGCCAGTTTCCATGGAAACCCCAGCAGCAGCAGGGCCGTGACAGCATGGGGCCAGGGTTTCCATGGAGACCAGCCCCAGTAGTGCTGGCAAGGTGCACAGCTGCACCAGGGCCAGAGCTAGGTTCTTGCAGTGGTGACAGCAGGGTCTAGACCTGGGGCAGAGCCACGATCCACTGCCTTTACATCCCTACCCAGATCAGTTCTGCCCCAGCTCAGGACCATACTGTCACCGCTAACAGCCCATGGTCACCACAAACTACAAAATAGCTTGAAATTTATAGTGTAAAAGGGACATGCTATTGAAATAATTCTTTACAAGATTTGGGTTCCCAGATGAGCTGCAAATAAGTCAAGAAATAAACTATTAAAATGCAGGCATACCACAAAATACCAGCACAATGATGTACGTCTTGTTTTCAATTTCTTTCCTAATTATTTTTGGATTCGTATGAAACTAGGAACCAGTCTATACTATACCTTTTGATGGTTTATAGAACCAGAGTCAATGAGTGGACCAAATGTACCCCCAACACAACCTTCTATATTCACATATGACCTACTGAACCATGCAAGCTTCTTACATGGAGTGTCTGAAGAATTATATGATCCAGATAATTAGGACTAAATAGGAATTTGACAATCCAAAACTGAAAAATTTGCACCTTTGAGCAGGAAAATATTTGAAGACAGCCTCTGATAAAATGAAAAGATAATGTTAAACTATATGTGGAAAAAGAATGGACATAGCTCTAGAATCTTAGGAGAAAGAGAGGTATGAGACCTTACCTACATGAACCTTGGGAAGGATCCTATACTTTACTGACAACGACATGAAATTGGGTGTAGGATACAGTAGTCTCAGGAGATTTCTATATAGATATTCCAAGATAGCAGATATTTGTTAGAAATGTTAGATATTTGTTATATTTGTTAGATGTTTGTTGAAGAAATGGGTACTGCTGTGCTGGGAGATGTCATTTTTTGTCATGAAGCATGTCTTAGTTCAGTCCCAGATATAGGTGATGTCATCAGGCATACTAACGCTTCGCCTTCTGTATCTGATCAAGATCACCACTTAACAATTAAGCCCTTACTACAAGGCAGCTGGAGATGTAAAGGCTGCTGTCCAGCGAAACTGATTGCAAAAAGTTTGAGCAGGACTATGGTAGTCGGCAGGGGTTCTCTGGGATTACCTCAACCACAGAAGTTAAAGGCCTGCTTGGTATGCTGCCTACATAGGAAAACAGCATGAGAAGCAATTGCAAGAATTTCTCTGAAGGGGACAGATACAGTTTCCAAAATAGCAAGTCCAGCACTCCAATATGCAAACAGTGCCTCCTGTTTCTACTGTATTCAAGGAAACAGGGCTGTGTATACATTCTTTGTAAATAAACAGGAATTGATTAAAGAAATACCCAACTCATATCATCAGTTTATCCCCTTAACAGAAGTGACAGGACAAAACTCAAACAGAGGCTAATTGCTTGGGCCAAAAGGATAGTAGTATAAATTAGTCATCATCCATAGAAAAAAAAAATTTAAAACAAAAACCTAATTAGCTACAAATTTAATTAAAGTGATCTAAATAGAAAAACAACAAGACAAATACAAAGTATTAACTTTTGCACATAACTAGTTTGATGACTTGGCAAAAAAACCAGAAACATGAATTTAACTTTATGGAAGTACTAAAGTTTGTTTTCTCTCCCTAAAGTATTACATTTTTGATCTCACTAAGGAACTTAGATTCCAACAACATTTACATAATCAGATTTTCTTTTTAAAGCTACTTTGGCTTGTGCAGAGTACATGTGTAACCAATATATGAATAATTGGATGTTGGAGATAAAGCGATTATTTGTTCAACAGCCTATTAAAAATGACCTAAACGTATCCTTCATTTAAGGTCTTGCCAAAGAAAAGCAAAAAAATACCTTTTGCTCGTTCAGTAGATCTGTAATGGTCTGCGACATTTCATCCAAACTCTGGGCTGCTTTCACCAGGTTATGTAGCGCACGTACATGCTGGTGAAGAGGTTCAAAGTCACAAAGTATAGGAACCCTTCAAAGATAGAATGAGTTCTAAAATTAAATTCAATGTGTCAGTATCAAATATTCAACTGAAAGTGTACACAGTGAAAAATCTAATTCTGATTGAACAAGTAGTATTGTCATTTTCTCAATTTCACCTGTTTTGCTATAACATGAAAACAACTTTGTAACTAACACTCTACATTAGTAATTCTTATTTCAGTGACTCTGGAGTACTTGAGAATATTAAAAAATAAATTTAGATCTTAAGTTCTGTTTTTAAGACACATTAGGTTCAGTGCACACTACAGATCACTTCTCAGCCTCCTATCCTTCCATGACTGCAACTCTAGGTTCTATTGATAACGTCATTCTAAGAAGCGATTCATATTATAACTGAAGTAGATTAATTTTTAAAACAGCTGAGAAATGAATTATAAAATAAAGTTATTTATTTTACACTATAGAAGTTAACAGACCAAAAACTGATAATATAATCAACCCATAAACATCTGTTCCAAAGTTTTACAACAACAAGCACCATTATCTTTCAAAATCATAAGAGTTGAATTCTTCAGCCTTAAATAAGAAGAGTACAAAGGATCTGCTGATAATGGTGCAAGTACACTGAGCTAATACTTCTCTCAATCAAAATTCATTTTCATTTCAATCAAATCTTATAAGATTATGAAAAAGCAAACTTTTAATCCCTTTCACAAATTCTGAAAGAGATTTAAGGCAAACTGTGTTCCAAGTTAGTGTAAGTGTGTAGTAGATCCATTAATTTCAGTAGGAACTGGATTTGTGCCATGAAGAAAAGAAAAAAAGACTATTATAATCCAATGTATTTTCCCAAATTGACAGAATACGCATTTTGAATTCTTATTTTGAAAGATACAGGTAAGAAGAATACTGCAGGTTTATTTAAGAGATCCTCTTTCGTGTCCGCATGACAAGGTATTTAGCAGAACTTGCAGATTTGTTGGAATCTGACTGGGCTGTGTCGTGAGTTCTTCTGCTGTGGCCTCAAACTTGTGAGCTCTAGACTGTCAGAGTGCCTTAGCTCCCACACCAAGAGATACATTTTTAAAACCAGACACTTACACACACACATTTATGCACAATAAAATTCAAGCTTTAAAATAAGACCGTCCAACTGGTGCCCTGTAAAGGGTTTATTCGTGAGCTTCCCATCCCCATGGTTCTATATTAGCAGCTGGTACTGGTCCCTCTCCATGAAAGGTTTCTAATAATGGAAATTTCTGAGAAAATTACCCCGCTAGAAATTACCATGCCTAGTCATACCCTTAGTTCTGTCTCAAATGGACAGCTGTTATGGTGCATTAGGTATGTTCACCCCTTTACATACAAAGTATAGGCTATGGGCCATGTGCATGCTGTATGGGCATTACTGGCCAAAATGTCTCCAGGCTCAAATACATGAAGCATATGCACATTCCACCATGGGTACTTATATATTCAATTACACAAAGATAACGCGTTTGCAGTCTTAAGATATGCAACTACAATTTTTTTTTCCAGTTTTTCTTGTTTGATATTTTCCTATTCGTAACAGAAAGATCTTGGTGATTTCCATGCTACAAGGACTTAACACCTAATCATTTACCTGAGTAATGGTTGTACTTCTGAAGGACAAAAAGACTGCAGAAACTGCAAGTCATTTAATGAGATATCTGGAAGCTCACTATCAAATCTGCGAGGCTTGTGTGTCTGCATAAATGATACAAATACCATTTAAAAGATTAGGGAAGAGAAGGAAAACGGGGCAGAGACTTGAAGATTAGTGCACTGCTAAACAAATAGATAAATATTAAACTATACAGAAGATTTATACCAGGAGTACCCAACTCACAGGCCAGATTATCTGTGGGGCTCTTCATGGCCTGGATCCAGCCCAGGACATGACCGCAACTACCATGGGTCTGCTGGCTATAGTGGATCTGGGAGCAGCGGTGGCAAGCCAAACTCACCACTGATGACTGTAGCCAGCATGTTTGAAGGGCCCCAAATTCTGCAGCAGGCCAACCCCCAACCCCAACCTTTAGTGGCCCACTGGTAGTCCAGCAGGTTCTGGTTACATATGCTTTTAGAAGTGCCAGAGCAGAGGAAATGAAAAAAGTATCTATCTAACAAGACAAAGTGAGTCATAGAATCACATCAACAGCATTAAATAAGCAAAAACAAAAAGATACATCATTACTAACTAGTCAACCAAGCTGAAACCATGGATAAATGATTTTTTCCTCATGCTGATCAGTTATGGCATCTTAAATCAAAAAATAAGAAGGATGAGAACATACAATATGGCCCAAAGAATTAATATAGCCATGCTGCACCAGTGGAATAAGTTGCCTCTGAATAAATAAGGGGCAAAATTCTCACTTTTAACTGCCTTTTCAAAGCACAACCTGCTCACTTTCTGCTTTCAAATACACAGCCTGCTTTTTTATGCATAACTTGTCACTATGCAATTTGCTCAAGGTTTATACATGGAGTTTCTTTATCAGCATACCCATGGTCAGAAACAAATTACAGCTAATGGTCTGCGTAAGTAGGGTGACCATAGGTCCTGGTTTGGCCTGGACACTCCCAGACTCTGTAGGCTGGTTCTTGCTGGTTGGTCAAAAGACCCAGGCTGGAGTCCAGCAGAGAGGCAGGGCAGCACGTTGCACCAGGCAGGTGGCCAGCCAAACAAGCACTGCTGCTGCTGTGTGGGAGCAAGAAAGTGCCCCATGTGGGTGGGGTGGCACCTGCTCCAGCTCAGCAGCAGCGGTGCCTGCCCCGCTGCCTCCCTGGCACACCAGTGGACCCGGCCTGGGACTTTTGAGCCACCGGCCGGGACTGACTTGTGGAATCCGGGACTGTCCCAACTAAACCAGGATGTATGGTCACCCTATGCGTAAGTAATTAAGAATCAAATAATTATGCTGTGTTGTGAAGGTCAGATTAAATAATTATAATGAACCCTTATAGCTTCAAAGTAATAAGCAACCTAATCAAAATATCCCAAAAAGTTCGAACCAGAGATGCTTAAGAGAGCATCAAATTATCACTCCCTCAGAACCAAATTGCAACAGATATATGTAAAGGTATCCTTATTACTAATTTCATCCTTAGATTAACTTTTTTTTTTGAAAGAAAGAAAGAATATCTGTTCTGTAGCAAAAAGAAATGCATGTGAAGTAAAAACTCTGCTTACAACTAGTATTTAAATGTCATACTATAGATTTTTCTTACAGAAGCCACACTTACAAAAACATACTTAAAACCCAACACTTATGTGAATTCAAAGAAGTTACTGAATACATACACAAAAGGATGGAGGCCAGGAATCAAGTCCCCTAAACAAACGATTCCTTAAAAAAGATTTCCCTGCGCAAAGGAAAACTTGGGTTATTTAGCAGGTATGTACACAACATTTAAACAATGCAAAAATGGAATACACTGATCTATGTTGGTCTAAATGCTGTACTAAATTTGGAAACAAGACTACAGTATGTTTACATTCCTGAAAAAGGTAATAATAATGACAATTACAGACTTTCAAACACAAAAAACCCAAGCAGACAGAATTCCTTTACCATACTTAAAGCCTTCTGTCTTTTTTCCCCCCAGCATGATGACCCTTATACCAAATACCTTTTCTCCTCTGCATCTTTTGGCTACCATCAAAACCTTTTTACTAGTAAGCTCTTTTCCAGTGTCACCTGCCTCTCCTCTTCTGCCCTAACTTTAAAAATTCAAAGTAAAAAACAGAGTGCCAACAGATATGGGGAAAAACAAAAAAGCCCACATAACTCGCACTCTACCAGAAGCAGCAGTGCTACTTTGACCCAGTTCCACAGTATCTGCATAGATCAGGCAGTTAAAAGTACTGTAAAGCCTTTGATGTAATAGCTGATTCAACCAGCAATTAGATAAAAAGTTTCAAAAAGTCCCACTAAAGCACCCAATCAATACAGATGTTGGGGAAGCCAGGTACAACTAAAGTGCTGCCTCTTCCAGGCATGTGTTGAGCTTGGTATGGGAGCGTGTGGATTTTAAAGTGGAGCTTCCTCCTCCTCTCCCCACCACCCAGCTACAAGCAGCCAAAATAAACTACAAACTTTCTCCACAAAATTATCCAAATCGCAATGTTAGTGGTTTCAGGTTTTCCTTTTCTCTCTCTTCTATTTCAAGTGTTTACACCCAAATGCTCAACAAATCATTATTTTAAAAATGTTGTTCATCTAGACAATGCACTACACTAGTTCTTGCACTCCACAAATTTTTCAAGTATAACTTGAAAAGAGTTACTTTGAAATAAGATTAAAACTTGCATAAAGTAATTTTCAAATGGTAAATGCATTATATACATTTTTTGCGCTTCAAGCATATGTTTTTGTTTGGTTTTCCTACAAATACATTAACAATTATCTGAATTTCCAAAAATATTTTGTACAAAAAAAAACTTTAAACACAATATTTGTAGACACATTTTGATCTATTTTATTCACAGAAACACCATTTATGGCACATCTATGCAAGTCATTCTGGATATTTCTTATGTAACCAATTCAATTTATATTAATAAGGGCACTGAATTATACAGCTGTCATTGTTTGAAGAGTACAGACATACACAACTGGTATTTACAACTGAATTTACAGAAGAGGAAAAACACTTACTAAACAATTTGCCAAAAGACTCCCTTTTTGCCTTTTCAGCTTCATACAGATGTTTCCCATCTTTTATTAAAGCACCAGCCCACTATAATAAGGAAAATACATATAATCAGTTTAGAAGCTGACACAAAGTGCAGTTTCAAAATCATTTAACATGCTTACCTCCCTGTAGTGTTTTATGAACATTTTTCTCCTCACAACCTCAACCACAGCTAGACAGTACATTTGAGGAACAGTACTGAGAGCCTCAACCACCTTGACCCTTTCTAGTAATTCTGTCACAAGGCGAAGCAAGGCTTGCAGTTTCTCCCCATCTTGGTCAGCGTGAAGCATTACAAAGCAACACCACCTACAAAGTAAAATGTTCCTTTATAGCAAAATTACCAGAATATTAACAGAATACAGAATACAGATATTTAAATACTGTTACAGATACAGAAATTTAAATACTGTTATGACGAAATTTTATAATCGTTAAATCAACTATCTACATCTCTTTATGGATCCCATTGTTATAACTACTGGGCTTGGCACAAGAGTACCACAAAAGCATCCAACACAGTTATACCATTCACTTGGATGTAAAAATTACCATTAGCCATGTCTCTGTCCCCCTCCAGGTCTGATTAATGAAATGCACTCTAAGTAGGACAACAAACTATTTGGAAACTGCACTTAAGAACTATGCATGGGAAATTCTGCATGCTCTGAGGGCACCATAATACAGATGCTTCCTTCCTTTCCCACTTGCAAGTGACCTGGGGGGCCAGGGGGGACTGCCAAGAGAAGTCAGCCAGGAGATTCTTGCCACAAGGAACAGACATATCATCCTCTGGAAATGCAGAAAACTCTACAGCTAGAGATCTCTTTTTGCCCTGTGCTGAATTGGGTGTTTGTTCTAACCTAGGTATCGGCTACATTTTTGGGCAGTGACAAAACACACCTGCAACCTCAATTTGTAAGATGTTGGTATGCCAGGGGCAGACAGCGGGAAGCTGCAAGGGGCCTGATCCTTATTGTAACACTGCAGCCCTGGCCACTTCTCCACCATCCACCCCAAGGCACGTGTGTCAAGCAGAAAGCCTGTGCATGCCATGCTCTGGCACTTGTGCCATGGGTTGCATACCCTGGCTCTAACCTTTCCCTTTGGTCCTCAAGTTTTTCTACTATGGGCATTACCATAAGCTGTCCTGAGACTTCTTTGGCTAGGGCAACATATTAAAAATCAATCAATCCGAGTTCATCTTTGTTCCATACCTACCACCTAAACCTCTCTTCCCTCTGCTCTGTTTCTTACCACCCCACATTTTCCTATTCTTTTCATTGTTCTACAAAGAGGAAAAAAGAAGAAAAAAGTGAACAAACACAAACTCTGGTGCCATCATGCTGTTCCGTCTAATCATTTGTTAGATTCCTCCCCCTTCTGCCTCAAATACAGGTTGTCTAGTAAGTTCTTGCAGACAGAAACCATCTGTTATTCTGTAGGGTTATACAGTATCTAACACTGGGGGTGGGGGGTATTCTTGGTTGGTCACTAGGCACTACCATGAAATAATTAAAAGTAAATCTCCTGCAGGACATATCTTCCCAAAATAGTATCCGTACTATTTATGGTACCAATGACCTAAAGTATGAAGGACAGCTACAAACCATATATTACATTAAGCATGGTTTGAGTGATTCTGCTAACAACCAGTCCACTCCAGGCAGTCCACACCATATACACATCACATTTAGCACAGAGAACGTCTTAATTTTTAAGCCACCTCTGGATAATGTAGTATAAATAAAATTGCTAAACAGTTAAATTGCTTTTATGTAATCAAACTATCAGATTTTTTTCTTGAAAGCAGAACTCCAGAGGGGGGAAAGGAGGGAGACCAAAAAACCTAAATAAATTGTCACTCAGTTTGAAGGAGAGACTGATGATTTACTGCTGAGTCCTTGAAAGTTTTTTTTTTTAAAGTTTGTATAGTACAGAAGCTACAAAGAAAAATGTTTTAGCCAGCTTACAAAGATACATTAAAACATTTATCTGGCTCACTTGCAAAGAAACCATGACATACAATTTCAAGCTCTGTTTTTTCCTCTAGTAAAACAAAGTCTATAGATATTCAAGTAAAGCCCTTCAACTACATAGGTAAGTCTTTCTTAATAGGGTACTTTAGATAGTCAAATCCAGTGACATAAAATTAAAATATCACTTACTTCAGTCTGACTTGTAGATTATTTGCAAGTTCTTGTTTGGCAGTGGTACATTTTTGCTTAATATCTAAGAGTTTCCTGTGATTAGTTAACATAATCATCAGCTGATTTGCATGACTCAAACATAAGTCAGGTAGCACAGAAGGATCTTTTAAGTTCTCAGCTCTCTTCTGGTTAGCCAAAAATCCCTGTAAAACAACAAACCCACTTATTAAACAGATGTGTAACAAAACAAAATGCTGCTACATTTACTGTTCCACCTCAACACCAGTTTACTTACTTATCTAGACTTTTTTCATCTGAAAAGATGCAAGAGAGCTTTAACAAACCTACGTAAATTAAACAAGATTACCGAAAAGTGCTATCGCCACAAGCACTTTACTTCCCATCTTATTAAAAGCCTATTAATTACCATTAAGGGACGGGGAACTGCTATTCTTTAGAGTAAGCTTATATTAATTAATGTGTCCTCCCCCTTTTGGGGGGGGGGGGCAGGAGGAGGGGAAAGGGGGTTACCTGGGCAAAATTTAACATCCCATAGCAAAAAGGGCAACAATATAGTATTACTACCAGAACACAGCCCCCATCAGAATCTGGAATAGAAGTCATCCCCTCTGAAACTGTTTTATGCTGTCAACTAATCTGCAGTAAAAATTATCTCCAGTAAAACTCATCACTCCCGTGTATCTGGTTATAAAGACTAACGATCAGTAGTTAGTACTTTTCAACTTTTTGTGGAATGTATTTTACATGTCATATCAAGGCATTATTTTTTTAATTTATCATGACGAAAAATATATTTTCAGAAATTCTGAGTGCAAACTGCATCCACTTTATCTTGCTGTATAAGAAAAGTATGATTATACATATAAGTGCTTAATGTACAATTTCTTCCCAACAAAAATGTAGAACGTTCACTATAAGAATATGATTAGGATAGAGTAAAATAATCTGTCAGGTTTTTGTTGTGCATTCTTGCATGTTCCTGCCACTAAAGTACAAGATAACAGCACAAAATAGACTCATGTTGTCTGTCTTACTAAGGCAAGAAAAGCTTTGCCTGGCACTGTTGTGCTGTCTCCAGAACTGGAAGAAGTCACATAGCTGCATTGGTGCAGTGCTGCTGCTAAGTTTAGTCCACAAATGAAGCTAATGCTACTTCTACTTTGAGAAGTGACACATATACAGTTTCGCATAACGTTTTATCACAGACTGCCTAGCAAATTCAGCTACTTATATATCCACTACAGACCTATCTATATCATTTAAGAACCTACTACTATCACCAGACAAGTTCTTTCTAGCAGATTTAAGTCTGAAACCATATAAAACCCACTACTCAGTGTTGCTCTACATAAGGGGTAGATGTGATATCTTTTATTAGACCAACTGAGTAGTTGGGGAAAAAAAGATCTTAGAAAAAGCTGAGAGAGAACTTCTCCCCGCCCCCACCAACTACTCAGTTGGTCTAATAGAAGATATCACATGTACCCAAAGAAGTTTGCCTGCCTATGTGCTTAGACCAACACGACTACAACCAAAAACTCCGCTCTACATAAGGAAATTGACTTTAATTTTCTTCTTCAACCATCTAGAAAGTTATACATGAAATAATATTAAAAGCACAATGACTAAACAAGGTCATGTAGCCTCCTTGTCATATTTTATAATACATTTTCAATTACATCACCATATGTTTTTTCTACTGAGACACACTTTCATTCACAAAAGATTATGCACAGGGAATGAATCAAAGTTGTACAGAATATGACACTATTTCGTTTTGGACCCATTTGTTGCAAAATTGGTAAAAAGTTAAGATTAAATAGGCAGAGTACTATAGGAAAGGGAAGAAGGATGATCTGATGTTTTAGGCAGTTAATGCTAACCTACAATCTCGGGGCAGCTATACACGTGACAGACCTTTGCTCCAATGCGTGCTATTAGCATGCATCGGAGCAGACTCAATTAATCTAGTTGCTGAAGCATGCTAATTACCACGCTCCAGCAGCCTCCGCATCACATGTATTCAGCATCCCTGCATTTCAAAACGGCGGCAAGGGCACTTTAATTAAAGCTTGTTGAATGAGCTTTAGTTAGTGTCCCTGCTGCCATTTTGAAGTGTGGGATGCTAAATACCCATGACACTGTGGGTGGTATAATTAGAGGCTCTGAGAGCCGCTCTAATTAAAGCACCCCCCTCCCCACCCCAGGGAAAACATGTGTAGATACCCTAAGATTTTATCCCTGCTTCTGTCACAGAGGCCTACATCACATTGGCCAAGTCACTTATTTTCACCAGTAATCACTCATTTTGTGTTCCTTATTTTACAGTTCCACAATGTAATATTAGTTTTGTAGAAATGATGTACACTCACAGCTCCCATTAACTTTACATTCAGACATGTATAGGACATATGAAAAGCTATTCAAATCTAAAGTACTCTGAAAAATGAGGTTCTGGTATTGCAAGTTATACAGACAAAATTAAACAACACCAGACCCCTTTTTGGTTTCAGTCCGTGTCTCATTCCCAACTGGAAAATGGAAATAATAAATCCACCTTTTATTGTGGGATGCCATAAAGATAAATTTATTTAAAGTACCAATACTTAGGGGACATGAAAGTACAGAACAGCCATATAGAAATTTTGCATTCAGTGCTTTTCACTAGAGTGCAAAGTGTGAGGGGGTAGGAGAGGATAAGAGGACATAACATGCAAGGCTAAATTAAATACTAAATGGATAGCCACTCAGTGACTACCATCCACCTGTGTACAGAAAAACCAAGGCCTGGCCTGGGGGACAGGGAAGAGTGAGGACAAAAATTGGTACTTATTTTAAAGTAGAGGTCCTCCCCCCCACCCAAGATTTTAGTGTTTGACTTTGTTAAAGCAACTAGAAGTGTAGCATGTGACTAAGATTAAGTAAAAGAGTTAATGCAAATTAGGTTCAGGATGTTTTAAGCAAGTCACAAAATGGCATGGGAGATCCTGCCTCAAGTATCTTATAATGTGTGGTCATAAAAATAGTGATAGGCTGGTGGGGAAAAAAAAAAGTCTTCTCCATTTAACAATGAAACAAGATGTTTACAATAAAGTTGTAGTCACTGGCTGCTACATGTCTAATCCTGGTCAACAGGCAGGATTTTGTGAATATCACAGCAGAGATTAATTTAAGAAAGGGTCTGTAGGTGAACAAATGTGACAGTAAAGCATATTGCAAAAAAAAAAAAAAAATAGTAAAAGAAAACCTGTCATTCTGATAAAAACAGTATAAATAAAACAGTGGCAAAAGCAGAACAGATTAATTGTAGGTGATCCTTTGCAAAAAAACTCATTTGGTGTTTCTATAAGAGTACACTTGCTATGTAATGCCACCTACTGACCACAACTAGGCATGCAAAGCTTATTATTTTCTCCTTTCATTTTTAGAAAGCATTCTAAAAATGTGTGCCACAGTTCTACCAATTTAAAGACTTCTGGCCTGGGACTAGCCAGCCCTATTTAATTATCAGACTCACCCAAGAAGCAGGCTCCTGTTAAGGGCTCAGCATACAGAAATGGAGAAAAGAACCCCTCATACAGACTGTAGAGCAACATGAAAAGCCTTTGCATCTTTGCCATCTACTCTGGTCAAGGAGATAGCTTTGCTTGGTGAACTCTGTTTTTAAGCTCAAAAGGTAATTAGGCTTATTAAGACTAGGCATGGCTTTAGTCTTTCCTGGGCTATGGAAACTCTCTTTCTTTTTTTTTTGGCACTTGGATTTAACACTGTGCTTTCTGATTTCTTCATGAAAAATAAAAAGATAAGATGAAAAACTCTGACACTTCAGTTCTGCCGTCTTTACCATCTTGTCATTGGGGACTATGAAAAATAATACCAAGTGAACAGAACAAGGATGGAATTTTCCACCTAACCAAAGCCAAAGCCACCTAACCTCTACTGAAAGTCAAAGGGAGCTAAGCTTAGATCCACTTAAGGAGCTGACTGTGGTAATGCCAAATATCAGTATATCTAACTTTTAAGCACCAAGCGCCCAGAGTTGAACTCTGAAATCTCAGTTCAGTGATTCTCAAATAGGGTGCCAAGGTACCCAGGGGTGCTGCCATATCCTTTGAAGGGTACCAGGAGTTGTGAGGAGAAAGCTGACATGTGAGAAGATAAACAGATAAGCCAGCCTTAGCCTTGCCCTTGCCTGGACAATTCCCCACTCCTACTGCCTAGCCCTTGTGTAAAGAGATAAGCACTGTAATATATAAATTAATTTTTGAAATTGAGTGCCATTCAGTTTGCAAATTATGGAGGCATGCCTTGAGTCCAAAAAGATTGAAAACTGCTGAACATTTAAATACTCTGACACCTAATATGGCACCTGGGAATAGCATTCACAACGCCCGAAATGCTAAGTAGACACTTGCCTGTAACCCTAAGTCAGGAATCTATATGATCCTGGGATAAGTAGCCCAATATCCCTACCTAGGACACAAGCACCCTTTGGGCACAGGAGGTCAATGTACTTATTTCTTTTAACAAGACAGTCAGAATTAAAGGATGTGGTGGTAGTGGTGGTGATGATGTTACCTACCTTATTACATAAGCCTAGAGAGTGGAACACTCACCCAGGACATGGGAGACTTGGATTGAATCACTTCCTCATTTTGAGGGTATTCAAGCCCACATTTCCCAAGTCAAGAGAGTTCTCTAGTCAATAGAGTTAGAGGCTACGGATGGCCTTCAACATCTACCTTGCTGGAGCTGAGATACTGGGCAGCCAAGAATGCAAGATTCCTCAGGAAGGAAGGATGAACTGTCATCTCAGAACCCAGGGAGGAAGGCAGTCCCTTGATGGGGAAAAATATGGATTCTAGCCTCTATTTCAAGAACTGTTCATGCCTCCAGCCTTGTGGTTTAGGTACTTTCCTGAGACATGTGTGGGGTTGAATTCCTCCAGGTTGAGGAAAGCAGTGTTTTCCATAAAAATGATCACTAGAATCTTTAATCTCATTTAAAGAGGTTAAGGCAACTGTACAACAGAGGGAAAGAAAACAAGCAATACTACTAAAATTCAAATATGTTAACGGTCCTCTCTATGTACTTAACATTCATTTTTTAATGGTGGCTAAAAACTGAAGCAAGCCAGCTACAAGTGGAGACACCTGCATACAACATATAACAGTAAAACCTTATTAAATTGACCTCTGTTGGACCAGGCTTCCATTAGGCAACACAAAACTCTGCTTATATATCACTTGCGTGAGTCAAGCTGAGTGAGGGCAAAAAGGTCTGCCCATTCCCTGCTTCTGCGCATGCAAGCGCGTGCATGAGCGCGCGCGCGCGCACACACACACACACACACACACACACACACACACACACACAATTTAACACTTTGCATGTGTGTATTTAGTTTGAAGTTATGCTGAAGGCAAAGTAGGTGGCACCTTGTGTCAAGAGGGTCCATTATCCTGCATTATTGCACCTTTCAAATTTCAGTTTAGGGAGTTTAACTTCAGGCTTTTGCTTTGGTTACAAACTAAATTTTCTGGAATTGTCATTTAAAACTTCAAATACTATACACTGAACTAGGACAGCATTGGCTTGAAGGCTGAACTAGTTTGTATCAAACACTCACTGCAGAAGAATCAAAATCAACTTAACAATGACAAAAATATTATAGCAGTACTACGTTTTGTTGGATTCCAAAATTCTTATCATCAATGCCAAAGAGATTTGAAAAACAAGAAAAAAAACAGTTAATTGGTTAATAAACCTATGGGATAGTTCACCATTATTCTGATTCTTTGCCAGTTGGCTTTCCCTTTGACTTGAATGATCTATTTTTGATATCTGGGCTCAACTGGATTATTTACTATTATTTCCCTTCTCCATGGAGTGGTGAATTAACTAGTTTATTATAACTCTGACAGAAATTCAGATGTATGGTGTTTTAGACCACTATTCAGTTTGCCAGATGAAGTGAAGCTATAACTTTGAATGTTCTCAGAACATTTATTTAAACACAGTTTTATATTTAGGATATAGTACCGTTCATTTTTTTATGCAGAGGAAGTTTTAAAGGTATTTAACTATATGAACTTGAGTACAACAGTTACTGATTTTGTCAATCATCACTGTAGCATTGATACTGATTTGTCATACTGATTTTGTCATTCATCACTGTAGCATTCCTAACAAATTTAAAAGTTTTAAAAGGAAAATACCTAGAAGAATACTAAAAGCATGACCCACCACCATTTTTACACTTGTAATGTTTAGTTACTAAAATTATACTTATTTCGTACAACTTTCAAGCAGAAATAGGAAGAAATTTCCCCCTATAAGTTAATGTTTTTAGAATATGAGATTTAATCAAAAGCATAAAATGTAAGAAAAGCATACCCTCTACTTAAAATACCGATATTGTGGTATTGTCTCATTCAAATACAATATTAAATATATTGAAAATGTGATTATAAATATGTGGCTAGTCATTCTATCACAGATTTGTGCCTCTTTTTGTTTTCAGGGAGATGGATATATAAAGTCAGTTACCTGAGCAAGTTCTTTTTGTTCGTTTACCAGTCTGCTGCAGCTAGCTATCATCTGGTCTAGCGCATACAGCCTGTCCTCCAGGCCTTTAATAGCCTTCATGTTCTGATTATCTAGTTTGGCAATAGTCTGTCGACATTCTGCCAAGAAGGGCTGAATGATCCTTGGATCAAGCTACAGAAAAAGAGAAGAAAAAAAACATGTAATTAAATACATTTAGTGACTTTACTTTTAACCAATTCCCATTATGCAACAGGTTGCAACATCCTTATACAATTTACAAAAGTTATATAATAAAACTAGCCTATTACCAAAAATACCTCTATAGAAGTTAACCTCTATAAAAGCTTTTGCCTTCACATATTTTAGTTTCTCCATTTCCAAGGTTTAGGATGGTGGTTTTTTCCCTTGATTGTATTCTTAGAATTAATTTAAAAGATATAGCAGGATATAACTAGGTGATACTGTGGTGGAAGAACCCCACAGAAAGGACTAGGTGGCCCTGGCTCCATGGCGGGGG